CTAAAAAGTTTAGAATTTTGAACTATTATTATCTGAACTAGTTGGTAAAATTAGCAAGTCGAATTTTCTGGCGAACAAACTTCTACTTCGACTTTGTTTAATGGATCAATATAGTCGACTAAAGACTATTAGACTATTTGACTGAATTTCAAAAAGTTCAGCGATCGTACTAAACCGCTATTTAAACATAATACCTGCATACACTATAATTAATTATATTATTGTTTAATTAATGATATATTAACATTTGTAGTAATATATTTAATGAGAGTAATAATGATGGAAAGTTAACCCTGCAGTCATATCCATTAACGATATTTATATGATTTTTAATTACACAGCGACCGGGCATTATTGTAAACCATTAATTATCATCGTTATTTAGATATGAAAATAAAATATAGCAAATAATGATATAAAGCAATTTTCATCCGCAATGAAATGCTGCTTGACAAGTTAAAAAAATTACATTTTTTATTGACCTCCCGTAAAATAATTATATAATTTCAAAAAAATGAGAATAAAATTTTTGTAATGCCTATCTATCAACACTCTCGAATATTTTGGCATAAATTTGCAAAATTTCAAAAATGAGACTTAGGCTTATGGCTGCTTGTAAATAAGTATTACAAGATAATTAATACCGATTTTGATAGTATGAGAGCTAGAGGCTTATTATAACAACAGTAAGTAGTAATAGGCGCTTTTCAGTAGGATCCTAAACGATATTAAAATATTTCCTGTAGGTTATTGTAATCGTCCAAAAATCGAAATTGAAAATTTTTACTTTTCTTCACGTTTTGAAGGTTTCTGAACATTTTAGCATACCTCAGACAAAATGGATGTGTGTGTGTGTGTGTTTTATATGTCCGCATTTTTTCGTCCACGTTTCCGGACGAACGGATCAACCGATTTGAATGATTCAAAAAACATTCGATTCCTATTGATAGGGAGATGTGCCGCTGAGTTTTTGGCAAAGACAGGTCCAGCCGTTACGGAGATACGGAGTACAGAGTGCATAAAATAGTATTCGAGTTTATGATAGAACAGAGTATCCGATTTCAATGATTTAAGAAACATTCAATTTGTAAAATGAGAAAAGACATGGTGACTAGTTTTGGAAAAGACAGGCCCAGCCGTTTCACAGATAAGAAGCTGAAAGTGTAAAAAAAATGCAGTTTTTGAAAAAACAAAGCTTTCGATTTGAATGATTCAAAATACATTTTTCTTGTGAAGAAATTACTAGTTTAGGATGGTGAATTCTTTTCCCCAAAATTGAAAAAAAATAGTATCATTTTCCATTTTTTTAAATATCAAAAATTAATCGGATTTTGATTTTAATTCTAGTTAAAATTCTAAGACACGTATATACTTCAAATAAACAATTTTAATTTTGCAATTCAGTTTATATAATTCATAAAAATATGAGAAAATAAGTTTCTTTATTCTAACTCTGTTTGATCGAGTTTTGTTTATTTATTTTTCAAGTAAACAATTTATAAGCTTTTATATTTTGTCTTTCAAATAAGAATAATGAAAGTTGCAGTATAAATAATGATCTATTTGAAATCATTTAATATTTCTCGAATATTTTCATTACGATAGGATAAGTTCCAGGGATTTGCCTTAAAGCACAATGCCGAACACCACTAATTTTTTTTATTTGACTTTCAATATCAATATTGGCAATATAATCTAATATAATACAATAATACAACATTATATATTAATGTTACTTAACCTAATAAAATTAAACAGCATATTGTAACACTTCACATGTCTTAATACTGTAATTAAACTAATTGGTTTTTCTATGAAATTATAATCATGTAGTTCGTTCTACTTATTTCGTCTATGCCCGTCAAAACGAACAAATTGCAAAGTTAAAATTATTTATTTGAAGTATATAAGTGAGTTTTAGAACCTTAAATAAAATTAACAAACTATAGTTTAATTTCCAAAAAAAAAATCTTGGAAATTAAAAAAAAAACTAGTTGGTATTGGTATTTTGTCTTGAGGCAAGTTACATGAACTTACCGATGTGTAAATAAACGACTTAATCAAATAAAAATAAATTAATTTATGAGTGATTAAAAGTATTCCGAGTGGATTTATTACACATAATTGTTAACTCGGAGTATTGTCTAAAAGCAAATTTTCAAAAATCAACCATTTTTATAATTGAACCTGTTTCCGTTTCCGTAGAACTTTAATGGTTTATTAGTATGTGCATTAAGACCAAGCACCATATGGTTATACCAAGTAAATCGTCTAATTTTAATTTTGTTAAAAGAACTACTCATTTTCTCAAATTCCGATAAATTTTTAAAATTAAACTACTTGTCGTAAGGCCGTAATATTTCAGTAAGTTCTATAAGACCATAAAAATGGGCTTAAATTTTTTTTCAACAGTTAATTACAAGAAAACAGCTCGGTAGATTTTTACCTAAAACTAATCAGTATCATACCAAACTAATATTTTTCGAACAGTTTTTGATTATATAAAATCAATAAGTAGTATGAGCTTAAATGTGGACGAAAATTTTAAGAATTTTTTTCAAATCACAAAGAAACGGTTCGGCCGATCGTCGCACAAAACTGAGAAACGATAATTCTCATTGAGATACATCAAATGGCTCACAAATTTCAGAAATCGGTTCAGGCGTTTTTGATAAAACGTCAATCATAGGTCTAATTTTGACAAATACCAAAAAAACGATACAAATTTTTGCAAGAATTTTTAAAATTAAACGACTTATCGTAGGGCCGTAATATTTTAGTATGATATATAAGACTATGGCATATATCGTAAAAAAATCATAAGAATCGCCAAAAAAAATTTCTTTAACACTTTATTAAAAGAAAACGGCCCGGCCGATCTTCACCAAAAACTAATCAGCACGATTCCCAATCAAAATCTTTCGAACTGTTTTCGAATTTTCAAAATCGATTTAGAATTGCGGGCTAAGACGTGGACCAAAATTTTTTTACAAAGAAACGGCTCGGCCGATCGTCATATAAAACTAAGAAACGCTAGTCCTCATCGAGATACATCGAATGGCTTTTAAATGTTTGAAATCGGTCCAGCCATTTTTGAGAAAACGTCGATTTACGGTAAAAAATCTGTTCACACATGCACACACAACCTACTTTTTCCAAATTTAGTCTCATTCGATTCAGAATGGCTTGAAACGTCGAGAAAACATAAAATGAGCGAATCGGATTTTTGATGAAAACATAAATTTCTCCTTCGGGAAGTTAATTAATATATTTATTTCTCATTGATTAAGTCAATTATTCATGCATCTCATTTCATGTTAATGCAACTCATGAACTTCTATATATGTTTATATTGGTTATCTATGATGCAACTTGCAATAAGTCAAATGCCACTTACAACTAGTTTAATAAAAAAATAAAGTAAATAACAAAAAACATGTGAAAGTGTAATCACAGAATCGTACTATATTTATTTATTATATACACTTATGCACGCATACAAGCGTGCAAACAACCCCCCAATCCCCACGCTAAAAAAATAAAATACCTATTTCAACTGTAACTTTTGTCCACCGTCCGTCCAGTAGCACCCCCCAATAAAATTCCATCGAAAATGCGAGCAACAAGTGTAAACGGCAATCGACAAATTGCACGGCCGTTGTATAATTTCTCTCTGCGCTCGATAACTTATTAAAATCAATCAAACATCACTAATAACATGGTTCATTGGCATCGCAACTCACTCACATCACTAACACACTGTAGTAAACGATACACACGACTATTAAAGAGGAATAAATCGATTATTGTAATACATACTACTTATATTTACATCACGTATATGAATTAGTTGTATAGTGATTTATAATAATTCAGCAAGCGAAATCAATTAAGACAACTTCCACGAAACGATCACTTAATTAGTTGATCCTGTTCTTCATAGAGCACTCTCAATAAAAATACAATTATAATATTATATACAATTATAACACACTTTTTCGTCTATAAGAATAAAAATTATTCAATAAACGAAATCAAACAATCACTAACTACTTTATCCTGTTCCCCAATAAAAATACAATTTACACACTTGTAATATTGTATACAATTATAACAAACTAATAAAATTGTATACAATTATAACACAGTTTTTAGTGTATAAGTATAAAAATTATTCGATGAACGAAATCAACCAATCAATAACTAGTTAATCCTGTTCTTCAATAAAAATACAATTTACACACTTGAAATATCGCGTATACAATTATAACACACTTGTAATATTGTATACAATTATAACAAACTAATAATATTGTATACAATTATAACACACTTTTTAGTGTATAAGTATAAAAATTATTCGATGAACGAAATCAACCGATCAATAACTAGTTAATCCTGTTCTTCAATAAAAATACAATTTACACACTTGAAATATCGTATACAATTATAACACACTTGTAATATTGTATACAATTATTACACACTTTTGGGTCTATGAGTAAAAAAATAATTCGATGAACTAAATCAAACACTCACCAACTAATTAACCCTGTTCCTCATAATAAAAATTCAATTTACACACTTGTAATATTGTATACAATTATAACACACTTGTATACAATTATAACATACTTTTTGGTCTATAAGTATAAAAATTATTCAACGAACGAAATCAAACAATCACTAACCTGTTAATCCTGTTCCTCATAATAAAGATTCAATTTACACACTTGTAATCATGTATACAATTATAACACACTTGTAATATTGTATACAATTGTAACACACTTTTTGTCTATAAGTATAAAAATTATTCGGCGAACGAAATCGAACAATCACTAACTAATCAATCCTGCTCCTCAATAAAAATCCAATTTACCCACTTGTAATATTGTATACATTTATAACACGCTTGTAAAATTGTATACAATTATAACACACTTTTTGGTCTATAAGTGTACAAATTATTTGACAAATGAAATCAAACAATCACTAACCTGTGTTATTCCTGTTCCTCATAATAAAAATACAATTTACACACTTGTAATATTGTATACAATTATAACACACTTTTTGATCTATAAGTATAAAAATCAGTCACTAACTAGTAAATCCTGTTCCTCATATAACTAATGCACTCTCAATAAAAATCCATTTTATCCACTTGTAATATTGTATACAATTATTACACACTTTTTAAGTATAAAAATTATTCAGGGAACGAAATCAAACAATCGTTAACTAGTTAATCATGTTCCTCAATAAAAATACAATTTACACACTTGTAATAAAAATTAAAGCAACTTCCACGAAACAATCACTTAATTAGATGATCCTGTCCCTTATAGTGCACTTTCAATAAAAATCCAATTTAAACGCTTGCAATAATGTATACAATTATAACACACTCTTTGGTCTAAGTATAAAAATTATTCAATGAACGAAATTAAGCAATCACTAACTAGTTAATCCTGTTCCTCAATAAAAATACAATTTACACACTTGTAATAAAAATTAAAGCAACTTCCACGAAACAATCACTTAATTAGTTGATCCTGTTCTTCATAGTGCACTTTCAATAAAAATCCAATTTACACGCTTGCAATAATGTATACAATTAATAACACACTTTTTGGTCGTATAAAATTAGACGCTTTATCTTAATACAGACATCACTAATACAGTAACGACGCTAATTGTTGCACTTAATGATCCATTACTACCAACTTAATTTATTAAATAATTCACAATACACACTATCATTTATCATTTATGATTTTTTTCTTTTTTATCTATTAATGGGTTAAATTAAAAATAATTATAATAATCGGAGACGAACGAACGAGTCCGAGCACCCACTTACGCCGACGCTAAATACAGCGATACTAACTGGCTGAAAGCCTCTAAGTTGAATCAGAATCGCTTAATTTTATGAGCTGTTGCCCGCTTCCATCGGTTGTTATGATATTGAATAACATTCGACCGGCGTCATGTACGACGAAACATCCCTAGGCGGAGGAATTGATTTTGTGCATTTGATTCGTTTAAGTAAAGGTGGTTTTGTTCTTTAGTAAGTTTATTTTGTAAATTATAAATAGTTATAGGAATGTATAAAAATCTAACTAGTGAGCTTGGAATCGTACCGTAAGGCAAATTGCTGAAACTTCCCGTACTGAAAATTTGAATTTTTAAAAAAGCTTGAAAATTTTTTGAATATTTTAAAAAAAAAAGAATATTTGAGAGTTTTTAAATATTTGCAAAAAAATTGACGTTTTTGAAGAATTTGATTTTCCCGTAGGGTAAGGTATTATAATCGTCCAAAAATTGAAAATGAAAATTATTACATATCTTAATGTTTCAGAGGTTTCTAAACATTTTGGCATACCTAAAAAAATTGATGTGTGTGAGTGTGTGTATTTTGTATCTCCGCATTTTTTGGTTCACGTTTTCAGGCGCACGAATCAACCGATTTGGTTCAAAAAACATTCGATTCCTATTGATAGGGAGATATGCTGATTAGTTTTTGGCAAAGGCAAATTAGCGGTTACGGAAATACGGAACAAAAAGTGCAGAAAATAAAAATCGAGCTTTTAAGAGAACGGAGCATCTGATTTGAATGATCTAAAAAACATTCAATTTGTAATGACGTTGAGAAGTGGTGATTAGATTTTGGCAAAGGCAGGTCAAGCCGTTTTGGAGATACCGAGCTAAATGTGCAAAAAATGGCAGTTTTTGAGAGAAGTAAGCGTCAGATTTGAATGATTCCAAAAACTTTCTGCTTGTTTTAACAAAATTATTGATTTTGTTTATATAATTCTTATAAATATTCGACAATGTTGCAATATTTATAATAATCTATTTTAAAACATTTAATATTCCTCGATAATTTCGTTACGGTGCGAGAAGTTCCAGCAATTTGCCTTAAGGCACGATGCCATACACCCCACTAGTTTACTTTTTTTATTGAATCTCCAAACTGTTAGACCTGCCTTCCCAAAAATTTAAGCAAGTCTTCATTTCTTTAAAGGGCGTCCATTAAACACGTGATCGATATTCTAAAGATTTTTGGACCTCCCTCCCCCTTGGTGATACGTCGTAATATCTAAAATTCTCAAATCGGTGGAGCAATACTCATGAAAACGCCGACAAAATTTGTATCCGCACATACAAACATACACACACACATACATCCATTTTTGAAAACATTTTCAAAACATTCGGTTTATAATGACAACAGTACTCGATAGTTTTTTGAAAAAAGCACGTCCGTTTTAGAGCGCAAATGGTGTAAAAAATGGTAATGTATTTTGTGAGAGAACTGAAAAAAGAATCAAAATTATAAAAAACACTAAATTTTCGAAATATTTTAGAAGTTCCAATTAAATTCCAAACTTTTTTAAAAAAAATCGAAATTAAAAAAAAATATCACATTTTTAAAAAATCTTTTTTTTTTAATTCAACAATCAGAATAGTTTGAAATTTTCAAAACTATCTTAATAGTTAAAGTAAATCGATTTTTTTTTTAAATTAAGGATATATATGAAACAATTGCTATTAATTGAGTTGAATAATTTTTATTGAATATTGATTATTTTTATTTCTCGAATGTTTAATTACGGTACGTGAAGTTCCAGTAACTTTCCTAAAGGCACAATGCCATGCACCACTAGTTTATTATCTATTTATTATTATTTTGTTATTAAGTATATTTACTATTAATGGTCGATGTTCAATTATGATATATTCTTGTTTTGTTTGTTCTGTTCCTGTGTTTTTTCGCTCTCTGAAGACAACTGTTGCTAAAGTTTTGTTGAATTAAATTATGTTTATGTGATTGTTTTATTAATTATTATTAAATTATTAACAACTTATTATTATTTTGTTCTCGAGTAAATTTGTTCAGTAAAATATATAGGAGGAAGTCCCCTGGTGGCGGATACCCGAGATTATTTATAAATAAAATCAAAAAATATTTTACGAAATGTTTATTAAAATATGATTTATGTTAGATAACAAAGTTAGAAATCAAACTAAATTAACAAAACCGTAATCTTTGCTTAAAAATAATTCATACTATCTATTAATACTATCTACTATCAATCAAACTTTGCTATCAAAAAATATGGTTTTAAACAGTGGCACCTAGTACCGGACATTTCAAAATAACCTGCATGTTTATGATCACATTTGCAGCCGTCTACACACTCTGGAATGTCTGCATATGTGTCTTTGACAAATATTTTTAGATATTGCAAAAAAAGTCACTATTCATCCACATTTTTGGCTGAGCTGCACCGATGCTCTCAGCTGGTGCATTCATAAGCAGCTCATTCTTTGACTAAGAAATACGAAAAATGTGGGTATGTAGTGGCCGTTAGCACTCATACAGAATAAAATTAAATAATTGTAATAAATAAAATAAAATAAAACGTAAATTCTCACAAGAAATATCAATGTGTTTACATTCCGGCACCAAGGGACTACTTAGTGTCCGGTGCTAAGGTACAGACATTTTCGTTTATTTGATGACACCTACTAAAATTGGTTAAAAGATCTTATGATATTATACCATTTTACGAGTAACAATCAAGTACAACTTTTATCTTTGCATACCACTCAAATGTAAATGCATTAATATGCTAGAATTACTTCCATTGATATTTAGGTGACGACGTGATTTTGCGCCTAAAACAGTAAAGGGTTGCTCTCGCCGTGGCCGTGTGCGTCACAGGCGAGGCTTGGCACGTGATCCTGTATCTGTGTGCCCCCCATGCCCCTTTCACTTGTATTTTGAAATAAAAAAGATTTATATTCGCTTAAATAATACGTGTTAAATAGAGTGTCCGGTGCTTGGTGCCGTCCGGCGTTAAGGAACTTTCCCCTAATTTAATGAATGACAATCATGTAATGATTGATTAATGTTCTTGATTTGTTTATTCTGTTCGTTTCTTTTCTCGCTCACTCAAAACCATGCCGACTTATATTTGCTTCGGTTTTATTCAGTATTTGCTTCGGTATTATTCAATTAATTTATTTTTTATATAATTGTTTTTTTAATTTTAATTGACTCTTAACCTATTCATTATATTTGTATTTTTAGTTATGTTTTTTATTAAAATATAAATAATTTATGAATTTATATTTTTTTTAAATTTATCGATTACTGTTCTTGATTTGTTTTGTTTTCTCGCTCTCTTAAAACCAACGCAGACTTGTATTGCTACAGTTTTCAATATTTTATTTAATAAATTCATTTTTCACTTCCCGTAAGGTAAGTTATTGTAATGAGCCGAAAATCGGAATTACATTTCTAGACGTTTTGAAGGTTTCTGAACATTTTGGCATACTTCAGAAAAAATGGATGTGTGTGTGTGTGTGTATGTATGGATACAAATTTTCGCCCACGTTTTCGGGCGTACGGATCAACCGATTTGAATGGTTTAAAAAACATTCGATTCCTATTGATAAGGAGATGTGCTGATTAGTTTTTGGTAGAGGCAGGTCCAGCAGGTACGGAGATAACGAGCAAAGAGTGCAGAAAATAGAAATCGAGTTTTTGTGAGAACGGAGCACCCGATTTGAATGATCTAAAAAACATTCAATTAGTAATGATTGGGAGAAGGGGTTATTAGTTTTTCGCAAAGGTAGGCCCAGCCATTTCGGAGATACAAAGCTAAATGTACAAAAAATGGCAGTTTTTGAGAGAACTAAGCGTCAGATTCAACTGATTCAAAGAACTTTCTGCTTGTCTTAATAAAATAATTGATTTTGGAAAAAAAAATTTTGTCTCATTTTTTTTTTTTTAATTTTTTGTATATCGAAAATAATAATTCAGATTTTATTTTTAATTCTGACTATAGTTCTAATATACTTTAAACAAATAATTTCAACTCTGCAATTCAGTTTATATAATTCTTATAAATATTAGACAATGTTACAATGTCGAACATTTCGTTACGGTACGGGAAGTTCCAGCAATTTGCCTTAAGGCACGATGTCACCCACCCTACTAGTTATATAATTGTTTCAATAATTAATATTAATATATAATCTATTATTATTGCCTTTCTCAGTTTTTAAATATAAATAATTACATGAATTT